ACCTCAATTGACTTGTTGGCAGCACTCTTCCTAATGCACCCCAGGATCCCATTGGCCTTCTTGGCCACAAGGGCACATTGCTGGCTCCTGATCTCCAGGACCTTTCAAAAATGATGGAGAGTGGCCTAGCAATAACATCTGCCAGCTCCCTCAGCGCTTGTGGGTGCATCCCATTGGGGCCTATGGATTTATGGATGTCTGTTTGCACAAATGATCTCTAACCCGATCCTCCTCAACCAAGGGAGAGTCTTCCTTTCTCCAGACTCTCTCTCTTGTCCCCAGGGTCCGGAATTCCTGAGGGCTGGCCTTAGCAGCAAAGACTGAAGCAAAGAAGGCATTCAGTAACTCTGCCTTCTCCGTATCCTTCGTTACCAGGGCACCCGCCCCATTCAGCAGTGGGCCGACATCTTCCCTAGTCTTCCTTTTGCTCTTGATGTATTTGAAGAAGGCCTTCCTGTTGTCCTTGACATCCCTTGCCAGATTTAATTCCAACTGGGCCTTAGCCTTCCTTGTTGCATCCCTGCATACTCTGACAATATCCCTATATTTTGCCACGAGCTCCTTGCTCATCCATGCAGGTCTCCTGCCTGCTGTACTGGATGTTATCTTCTGTGTTAAACTGGTATTTCTTTTAAAGGATCTTCCTCCTTATTTCACTCTACCACATCATTTTCAAATTTTCTAACTTTATTTTTAATATATTATTTGTCCTTAGTCCCCCTCAGCTTTCTTTGTTAGTAAATGAAAATTTTCTTCATGGAGGAAAAGGTGCAACTTATGTTTTTGCTTGGCATCATGTACTTTAAATTATGTTGCACACAAAAAGGAAGGGATAGGAGTGGGCAGATGGGCTTCCTGTCACAGAACAGTGAGAGTTTCCCCAGATCACAGTCTGATCAGCACTGAAGCAGAGAGAATGAAGGAAATCTCATAAAAATCTTTGGGAAAGCATGGGGAAGGGTTTGACTTAGGCTACAAGTTTGCAGACAAAACATGAGAATATGAATATTCACAAAGTAGTATGTGTGGGGAGGAGGGATAGTTTGGAAGACTGTGCAACACGAGGCTGAGCTAGTTAGCTGCCGAGTAATAGTTTTTAGACCTCAGATAGTTAGCAACGGAATATTTTATTATACAAATATAGGGTAGAATTGAAAAGGACATAGTATTTATTGTTCTTTCTAGTTGTCTAGACTAGACAACTAGACTAGACTTTCTAGTTGTCTAGACTAGTTGTCTAAAAAGGGCTATACTTTTTTAAAATGAGATTTGGGTATGAAGAGGTACCATTAAACCTCACAAAGAAGGAAGTGAGAAAGAAGAGTTAAGAAGCATCCGTTAAATGTGGCTGAACAAACTTAAAAGCACCAGTTGATGTACAGGAAATAACCTGTTGTTTGGAAAGGATAAGGTGATTAAAAAAATGATTTTAAAATAAATGCTTAAACAGTAACTTTCCAGGTAAGATTTACTTTGTCTCTTGTTAATGAAACTATCTGGAGTCATCTAGAACTACCTTTGTAGTATATCTGGTCTGACAACGAAAAGCTAAACTTAGTAATCTAAGAATTATAAAGTGGAACATCCAAATTCTTCATCTCTTTTCAGCTATTCATTGTTTTTAGTTCTTTGTACAAATATACAAATTCTCCTTCCCCCCCATCCATTTTCCATTCTTTCTAGGACTTCCTTCCAGACTTGCTCTACCTTTTCCAGTTGTGCAGTTTGAGTCAATATTTGTTTGCTATTTTTATTTCTTTTTAGGGTTGTGGGAGATAGTCACCAATATGCAGTGTTAATTTACTGAATGCGGCTTTTCAGGAGACATTAAACCTAGTGCTCCTCTTCAACACACGTTAATCAACTTTTATGCATCTTACAACATATTTTCTTATTATCATTTATAACTGGCTTTCATACCCTTTTAATTTGATTAGTTATCCATTTGTTGAAAATATTAAGCTCTTCTACTTACTTATGTGTTCTGTTTATGCTGTATTCTGGTGCTTCCCAGTCTGTATGTCGTTCACATGTGATCCAGCACATCTTGATTTGTTGACCTCTGTTAGTACTTTGAACTGTGGACATCTTGCTCGTTTCAGTCACACAGCATTTCATCAGCCTCAATCTTAATTTCCTTATACTTTAGTTTAGTTGCTGAGCTTCAGTTCAATTTTATCTGATATGGAAAGAAACCAATATGTGGTCTGCACAGTAATTTTTTTTCACTCTGAAAATGATTAATTTCCCTTTAGTCCTATGCAGTAGTCATGATTTGAGATGTATTACAATACTCAAAGCCAGGCTGTTCTCACTACTGTAGGTGATTTTCCATACCCAGTTCTGAAACCTTGAATATGAAACAGAAGGTCTGTTGTGTATGACGTAAATCCCGTATCGCAAGTTCTGGGTGATCAAGATGTCCACAAGTTATTCTGTCTAGAATAACATGTTTCATTCAGAGTTTTTCTCCTCTTGATTTAGGAATCTAGGAATAAGTTCCTAGGATTTAGGAATTTACCATACTTAAGTCTTTGGTTTACTTTTGTAGAAATATTTGGTGAAAGAGCAATTTATTTCTGCTCAATATTTATATTTTTTCTTTTATCAATTTCACTGTGTTATGTGAGTCATGCTCCTGCATCCAAACTGTTTGGAAGGTCATCACTGTTCAGTTTTGCTGGCTTATCTTCTAGTGCTGTTATCTTTTCTAATGTTATGTTGTTAAGATTTTCTATTCATATTCTAGCATTTTTTATCTATCTTAAAAATCTAATGAGAAAACAATTCATAGGAATTCATATTGACTTTTCTTTAGTCCTCCAAAAATGGTTATTTTCTTGTTCTTTGTGATCTCCCCACACACACGTTTTAAAAAGCCTGGCCTAAACTTAACAAGATTCTCTTTTGTATTCCTATAACTGTGATTGTCTTTGTTGGTTTCCTCTTCCATCCTAATAATTTTAGAGAAATGTGAAAATGTGTTTACAATCCTGTTTAAGTAATAATTCTCTCAGAATTAACATAATTTTTTTGTGGAAAATTCCATTGCAGACGTGGAGCCAGATTCTAATCATCCAGGACATCAGATGTTGGTGATGCTTTTTGGATAAAAAGAAAAATTATATCATATGGCAATTTATTATGAGTAATTATATTGGACACACTGCTAAGTGTAAAATTGAGAGAGGAAGTGATTTATGTAGTAAAGTATTTCTTCACCTATTTCAACTCAATTTAGATTTTTTTAGAAAAGGTATCTATAAAGTAGTAGATATTCTCTCACATTCTTACATGTTCATTCATGTAGACAGGAAAATGTTCTTGTGAAGAGCTCTGTTAAGAGACTCTTTCACCACCTAAAACAGTAATAGGTGCGTATATATCTTCAGCTAAACTTGCTCACAGTGCTGATTCTTCAGTCTTGAACTTATGCAGTCTTAGGAATGAGTAGAGCAGTAATGAGTGTTTCAAATAGTGTGGAAATTTGTTCAATATTATAATGGTCACAAGTTCTGCATTTCGATCACTACTTCAGACATTGAGCAGCTGCAAGAAATTTTATCTACTGGTGTTTTTCATGTTTTATTTGCTTCTTCATATGAAGTAAGCAGTAATTACTAAATGCCACTTAAATCCAAGTGTTAATTGCAATTTTTTTTAATTAAAAATTGGATTTAGTTTGACATTAAGTATTGGTCTGTGGTATCGAGATCCTATTTAAGTAAATTTCCATTTGAATTCAGATGTGGTAGTCTTTGGCAAAACCAAATTGTTTTGTGCCACAGTCAGACAATAGGAAAGAATTGAGATTTGCCCATAGCTGAAAACTGATGAGACAGGAGATTCTTGTATAAACGTAGCTAA